AGCATCTTAATGTGTAGCTTTTTTCCATTCTACCTCTTTAGTTGGATTTGAAATGATACTATTAATGGTAGCAACTGTTGTCTTATCTCTTAATTCAGTATTTAAATCTAGTCTCTGTATTAAGCTATCTGGCACAATATATTGTCTTTCCAAATATAAAGTATACTAAACTACCAAAGCAATGAACCTCTTTTTGATCTAAAACTTACTCCAAATTCAAATCAAGTCCAAATTTAATATGTAATAGTTTTTTGGAAAGTTAATATTAAGATATAAAATCTTTAAAAAGTTCAATTCAAAATATACAACACATAAAAATTGAATGATGAAAACCCGACAGCACATCAACATTCAATTCAACAATGAAATTTTTACTACCTTTTAAGTTGATAAATAGAATGCTTGATTTATATCAATAAAGAAGAGATGTAAGATACTTATTAATAATAGGGAACTACTTTAATTTCTCATTCAATTAAAAAAATAAGATCAATCACAACAAGCAAATTTCACATTCACCCACACTATTAGAATCACCACCTCTCAGCAAGCACACCATTTATGTGAATGTAATATTCACCCTTCAACCTAAATTACAAGATGGCCTCAATTAAGAGTTTTTTTTAATTGGTGGTATAAAGTAGAAGTACCAAGAATAAAGAACAAAAGAAGAACAATACAAAACAAGTAGAACAAGTGCAATCAAGCAATTCTACATTATAAACTAATCATAGTCTGTTTATTAAATTTTCATCCAATAAAATATAAAAGTAAAAAATAAAAAATAAATTTTTAGATAGATAATTTTTTATCTTTTCAATGACATAAAATACATATAAATCTAAGTTACTATGAATAAGTTATGATAGATTAAAGATAGAATATAAATAATAGACAAGTTAAGTGAATAATTTTTACCTCAAGGATAGTTTGCTTTAGAGATCAAGATTTCGAGCCTCACCAAGGCTCCTAAGTAGTATATATGGTGTGTCTAAAGAGGCCTTGAGGCCTTAGTCTTATCTTCCTATCTATATCCAAGGTGTTACAACCCATATGGGACTTGTATACCTCCCTTCCTACAAGGACTAGACTAGCTGCTGGTCCTCCTATTTTCTATAAGTAAAACTCATATTTTTGCATTTTCGACTTCACCATGGTGTTTAAAAACATTCTATTAGCCAAAGAACCTTCCATGGCTTCCAAATCTTGCTTCATTTCTTCATAATGGCTCCCATGGTGGTAAAACTCAATTTTACCGAGGTCTTGAAATCTTCAATAATAATTCCTAAAAAATTCTAAAAAATTTCTAAATAAAATTTTAAAAAATATATAATATTTTTATAATAATAATAAATATTCAAGTCCATATTTTCTTAACTTTGTGATTTTTTATAGTAATAAAATCAATTTATATCCACTAAAAGTCCTATTTTTTAAAGAATTATTAAAAAGACATGAAGTTCTCTTCATACTTCTTCTAATTATCAATTAATCATTGATAGAATTTTTATAAGTAAAAAATATAGATAGGAGGCCAACAAAGATATTGGTCTCAATAACTAATCCTTAATACTTAACAATAAGTAAAAATACTAAATTAATTAAAATAATTACCTCTAAGACTTACTAAGATCCTATTTTTATAAATTTTTTTAATAAGAATTTTATAATTTATAAATAATTCTAAATTCTAATAAATAATCACATAGTCAAATAGAATTTTTAACCTTAATATTTATATAATTAAATAACTTAAAACTATATTTTTAATTAATCCACCAATTAGGATGCGTTAATAGGATTCACACTCTTTGTACTTCATTATTGACTAATTGGAGAAATATCTCCACTTTTATATTTTTAAGTGTAATTTTTTTTTATTTAAAATAATTAGAGAAATTTCCTCATAAAATTCTTAAATTTTTTTGCAACCAACTCCTTGCTGGATTTGTTAATCTATTCCATAAATTTTTTAGTTATACTTTTAGCATCCTCTAAAAAATACTCCTATTGTAGTTGAAGGATAAAATCCTCCCATTTTTTTTTATGGATTTGAATAATGTCTTTTATATGCTTCTATAGCTTTAATACAATTACAAGCTTAAATAAAAAGATTATTTCTTTCTCTGGCACCTTATAGAGCTCCATCTCTTGAGAATAATATTTCAAATATTTGGAGAATTTTCTTCCCTCCAATTGATTTAATAAACCACTAACACATTAGAAGGTTTTGGTAGCCATTGCTTTTTTGTGATGCACAACTTGTTGTTGCATATAAAAAGTAAATGCTTGAAATATTTGAATTGTAGCAAGATCAAGTTACAAAGATAATACCACAATATTATTCCTACTACCACTTTTTATTCTTTAGTCATAATAAAAAGCCAAAAATATTTCTTCAAAACTCTTCATCCCTAATATTTCATGTCAACTTTACCATATGTCTTATAGCATGACTTTCTATTTGGAAATACATTGGGTACCTAACTGTAGAGGATTTAGCTTAAATTTATTAAATAAATTATAATGAATAATTTATTCTTATTATAAAGGCTAAATAAATACAATAGTATCAAAAGATATTTAACTAATCAAATCTTTTTATATTTAAGAAGCTTTATACATAAGGCTTTCTAAAGCATCTAAAAATTTCCTAACATCCTTTGCTATACCAAGTCATAACTAAATCATTTGTCAATAAGCTTGATTTTCAATAAACTCAAAGAAAATCCATAATCCTCTTATAAAAATCCATCTTTATATCATAATTTTTTCACAATTCTATATCTCTATCTTTTTCATATATATAAAGTCTTGGCTTCCAAAACACTCTTTACTTTGCATAAAATGCCCAAATTACTGCAAAATCCTTTCAAAATATTTTTCTGTCACAAAAGATTTTTTTTCTTTCCAAACTTTAGAAATTCATATTTCTTGATTCAATTGCTTGATTTTTTTCAAATTTTTAGATGATATATAATTTATCTTTAAGTTTTATGGTTTAAAAAAAAAAAAAAAAAAAAAAAAAAAAAAAACTATAAATCTACTACAGATTGTCTTGCATCTTAAAAATCCTAGTAGTTGCTATAAATTCTAATTTACAAGCACATGAGTACTATTTTCTCTATATCTCAAAAATCAAAAATTAAAATGCTACAAAATTTGTATATAAATTATAATAACATAATAATACACATTCTTAGAACTTCTGAGCCAAAATCTTGTCAAATTACTCAATATAGAGCTTAAAACACAACCACTAGTAAATCAGATCACTTATTGCCCTTATATTGCAAGTGCTAACTTCAACTTTCTATAACTCTTTTATTCTAGCTTAGAATTCATTAAGCAATACATAAAAAATATATCCAAAAAAGTGCTCTCTTTAATCTTAGTTGCCAATCTTTCATTGCTTTCTGTACTCATACGTTATATCAAAAAGAGTGATAATAGATACAAAACCAACACCTTAACTTTGAGCACTTATATTTCTTTCATAAAAATTCCAAATTACACAAAATTTTCACCAAAACCATAGCCAAAAATCTAAATTCTCTGATCCTAACCTCCTAAGTTCAAATGGTCTTGAAAGAGTAACTCTAATTCCTAATAAGGCCTCGGATAGCCTCCTTGAAGCCCATTGGACATGCCTTTTGGCCAATAGCAATGGAGATTTTTATCATCCATCTCCATTCATCCATATAGATGTCCTAACTACTTTTGCTACCAAAACCTCTCTCTAATCCTTTTTCTAATAAATTTTGTATAATATGTGCCATAAACACTTAATAAAAGAAACAAAACAAGATTTTAAGGGTCACCAATATCTAATAAAGATGGCTGTAAATATATAAAACTATTATCAACATAAAATCAACTTCATTAATAGTTCTTTTAAATTAATCACTTCAAATTAGTAATCCAATAATATTTTGTGACTAACTAAAATCTAATAATGTGGATTTTATCACATTGTAAACTAAATTATATATTAAATATTTATGTGCATTATTTTTATATAGTAGCCAAACCACAATACAACAATATACATAGAAGTCAATGAAGAATCTTACAAATATAGTAAAGAAGATCGATGGTTTTCATCAACAATATCTATCAAATCTTAGATGAAGGATTAAAAATCTTCATTACAAAAAAATTACAAGTTAAAAAGAATTCCATTCAACCTTCTATCTTTGTTTGTAATGTGTGTATATTTGTAGTGCTAATGAAATAGAGAATCAATAGTCAACAAATTCAACAAATTCAACAATTTGCTGACTTACAAAATGAAACATTACAATTATTATAGCTTTTAAGACAATGTAATGAAGATTAAGACCTTCAAAAATGACATATTTTTCTTTAAATAGATGGAAAAATACAACGCATTTGGTATCATGACTTTGAAAAAGACTTTTTATGACTCGTGATTTTATTGAAAGTACAAATGATTCTTGATGGTGTTACAAATATTTTATTTGAAAGAAGTTACAAAGGCCTCAAAAATGATGAAATAACAAGGTAGTCTTTCCTCCTTGAAATAAGATATTGTCAATGGATGAGAGTACCTTTGAAATATCTTCATAGGGAACAAAGATAAGAATATGTAGTAAATATAATTTACTGCATCTTAGACTTCTTCAACATGAGATCACTACTTCTTATGGAACTCATCTCTAAAAAAAAAGATAATATTACAAATATACGTACTTTATCCAATATTAATCTACATATTATGAATAAATAAAAGTAGGTTAATTTGATAATATCTCATAAAAAAACTTCCTAAAAGCTCTATTGATATAGTACATCTTTATAGATATCTATAGGTGATTGATAGGTTAATATCTTAGCTATAGATATCTATAGGTGATTGATAGGTTAATATCTTAGCTAACAAGTTAGACATGTGTTGCTTACCTAATTATGGCATGGTTATTGAGATAACTAGTGACCTAAGTAATCGGGCTGCGCATCCATTTTGCATTGATCCGAAGGTTGTACGACCATCTAACTCCCGGAGAAAGACGTGCTAGGTTTTAAAGATTCGGCAAAAAGTTGACTGAATTGGTGGATAATTTCCTACCGTCAAGAAGCAGACATGGGTGATGTGGTGGATCTGACCCGTGATGGCGGGGTTGTTAAGCAGATTATCCGAAAAGCCAAGGCCGGAGCGCTTCACCCTTCAGAAAACCTGCCTAATGTCGATGTACACTATGAAGGCAAATTCGCGGATATAGGTGTGTGCGTGCGTGTGTCCACTTGATTGTTCCAATTTATAAGCGATGTTCTTATCAGCATGGGCGGTTCTGTGTTCTTCAAATTGGATTGAATGTTCTTGAACCGGAATTTGGAGTTACGAAACATCGAGTGCGACGTGACTTTTGGACAAAACAACTGTGTGTTCTTTATGAACTTAGGTGTGCGAACATTGAGCAGAAATTCACATGCAACGGTGAATTGGTAGAGTCTCTTTATTCTCACCACTTTCTGATTTCTTGAAACAGGTGAGATCTTTGATTCTACGGAGGACAACACTGTGTTCACCTTTGAGATTGGGCAAGCGAGTGTCATTCGCGCCTGGGAGATTGCAGTCAAGACCATGCAAGTTGGTGAAATTGCACTCATCACTTGTAAGCCTGACTATGCGTACGGCCAGGCTGGGGCTCCTCCCGAAATCCCACCTGGAGCGACCCTAGTATTTGAGATTGAGCTACTTGGAGCGCGCCCTCCAAAGGGGTCCATACTTGACAGTGTAGCAGCAGAGAAGGCTAAGTTGGAGGAAGTTCGCAAGGAACGAGATCTTACTGCTGCGAAAAAAGAAGAAGATAAGAAAAAGAGAGAAGAAGCGAAGGCGGCGGCTGCTGCACGTATGCAAGCGAAGATGGAATCAAGGAAGGGTGGAGGACAAGGAAACAAAGGCAAGAAGTAAGCGAGTATCTTTTTGAGTTTTCGTATATGCCGATCCATGAGAATATTTCTTTACGACATAAAATAGCATGTCAAACTTTATAATTAGGTGCAAAATTTCTGCCATAAAGAGTGCATTTACAACAGTATGTCTGTATTGAAGAGGACGGGGAACGCATTGAGACATGAAACTTTCGTCTGTTCAGACTATCTTCTTGCAGGAAAAGGGAATGTTCGAGTGTGTTTAATATTTTTCATTTTGATAATCCAGCTTGCTCTTCACCTTGAGCAAGTTGGATTATCTAGTAATTTTATTTTTTAACGTGCTTTGTAAACTAATAATTATTAATTGTCTATTGACTGATTCATGCTTGATGATTGATCAATGAACTCAATGTTGATCAAATTTCCATGGTGCGTTGTATAGGGTTTCCATTGTGCTCTCTTCGTATATTTGTACCCCTTGATACAGTACTTCGTGAAAGTCGCCTGTCCCGCGAATGCATCGCAAACAAACAATATTTAGAGCACATCTAGAGAACTCAAACAATATTTCTACTGCATGAAGTCAATGTATTTATCAATAACATCAAAAGCAAATTCACCAACATTGAGTGAAGTTGCATCACTTTTTGTAAGGTGTGTTCCATATAATATATATTAACATTTCTTTGATAAATTTTAAAAACCTACTTCTTGTTTTTATTTATTTATTTATTTATTTTATTTTATTTTAAATGTAAGAAATCAACCAAATTCTACATTAATTATATCAAGTCTTGCTGAATTTGGAACCTAATTTATTTTTCAAAAACACATTATTTATTTTATGCATTATTTTGCATTAATTTAAAAGTTGCACATTTAACATGATTCATGATCTTACAATCACTTGAACAAGTCTAGGTAAAAGAATTTTGTGTCGTATTCTGATGTACTTCTATTTTTATAAAAAATTAGGAAAAAAACATATGTAATAATACTTAGATTCTATTTGAGTATACATGTACTCATTGAAATCAACTATATCTCGATTTATATGTAAATGTGTGAAGTAAGTCATACATGCATACTTTTAAGATTTAATGCATTATTCTATCATTTTTGAAAAATAACATAACTGTTGATATGGTTTCAACGCTGGAGTTCAGATGTAAGAACAATTACTTTCATACATGACATTTCAAATTTTAAACCAGAGCTGTGCACTTACAATCATGTGCTGTACCAATTCTAAACTGACTCCGACAGTTGAAGTTGCGTTAAACATGAATTTCACCAAAAGATAAGTACAAAAAACTTCAAGTTCGTTGCAACATGTTACACTCCAACAGACGAAATGTTTAGACCAAGTTTATGAAAGATCGCTCCGAGTTCACTGTGATCTTTTCTTGAGCTTCTTGGACAGCTTCTTCCGAAGTGTGTGAAGGTCCACCTTCATGCATTCCTGTTGCTTGGTTGTGGCAGCTCCTATATCTGGTTCTCGAATCCTCCCGCTCAGCCTCTTTCTAATGGCATCAATCTCCGCTTCTTCTACTAGAGCCCTGGCAGCTGACTTCCTGTTCTTCCCTCTAAGTGCCATGATTGGTTTGAGATGATACATTTCTGATTAATATAACAACTTACTGCTGCGAAACCAATCAACAGGATGAAAGCTCAAACGAAACCGATTCTTTTTGTACCAGATTTGTTCTAGTGGAAACACTTCAAATCTGTCTACCTCAAATTTCGGGTACACACAACTGACCGATCGAGGACAGGGGTTGACACTAAAAATGTTTTTTGAGAGGTTTCTGACGCACTGATTATCCGAGGCTCAGGAATGAGTAGGGACTCACATATGAAGCCGTTCGTCTACCACAAACCCAAGCAAGCTCGATATCATTCTTCAGGTTCAGCATCTCAATCACTTGCGACACCCTCTCTCGCACAAGCACTGTCGCGAACACCACTCGCACAAGCTAACTTTAATAAACGCAAATGGACTGACTACGGAAAACTTCAACCGCAACTTGTCCGAATGAAACCTCAACTGCACTCCCAACCTTGAAGGATTCAAGCGGTGAGTCACGAAGAGTAGTAGCAAGAATGTGCCCGACAAGAGAGCGAGATACAGTGCAATTAAGAGACGTGAACTAAGTAGAACTTCGAACACAGACGGAGTCCGAAGAACAACTGGTCGCGAGTTGGAATTCTCTCAACACTGCTATCAGATGCTACCGCTTCAACAACTGTGGAGATTGTAGTCACTGCGGTGCCACATGGACTCCGGTAGCTGGGTTCATGTGCAAGGTCGGCTGCCCATTTACACAGCACACTTGGTACCGAGAAGGGACAGAGCAGCGTTGAAACTGTCCTGGGTGTGGAACTAGCATTGGCCATGTCCGCACTCCAGTCAGCTTCCTCCACATCGCCAATCATCTCGAACATGATCACCTGCTTAAGTAGGTGCACCTAAACCAGTTTAAGATTTCAAGCGCATCGTTTAGAACTCACAAACAAACACAAATACACAGTACATATCTATCTACCCACCTCCCTATCTAGAAAGACCTAGAGATTCTTATTTTGAGAGACGAGGGCTTGGATTTCTTTTGGTCCTAGTCCTTTGTAAATGCATGGTGTGTTCTCTAATCTGCATTAGGTTCAACCAACTCAGAGTCATTTCTCGATCAGGCAACAACAAACAAAACAGATGATAAAAAACAAACAACCCGCAGAAGGTGGGTCCAACCCTTTTTACCTACCAAATGACAGCATTTCGCATCTTTGCACCAAAGTGAAAAAAGTAAAAAATAATTTTTTTTAATAGAAGCAAAGCAATAGTCTTCATTCAAGGACATTTGGGATCTTATCAGAACTTGCATTCATGATTTTGTTTTTGTTTTTGTTTTTTTTTTTTTTGCCTGTGCGAGACTATTCTTGTTGCTATTCCTTGAGTGTGTAGATAGATCCTTCGTGTAGAACAAAAGTGAGATACGAAATCTACTCGTACGAAGCATTCATAGATGCAGTCATAGCTCCAATTTTTGTTTTTTTTGTGCTTTTTGTATACACAAGAGTAAATAAATTCACTGTTTTTAATACATGAATATGTTGCATGATTGTGTGGGTTTCACGGTGAACAGGACCTCCTCAAAGCTGCAACAAGTACCTCAAGCACAGGCCATTGTTTATAAGTTTGATAAAGGACATTTGTAAGTAGTTGGCACGTGTCAAATAAACTGTGCAGGTGAAAAGGATATTTTTATACCAGAGGGGACTCACTTTGTTAACAAAAGTGGCAATGCCTTTCTGTGATGCTTTTCAAAGTGTTTGGGTAGTGATGTGTAGGAACTTTCTTACCCGTTTTTGGATTTTATCTGATGGCAAAGGATGCGCCATGTGGACAGAGGCTGACACAACAAGTGTATGAAAAACAATCATCTTTCAAACTTTTCATATAATTTCTGAGTAGATTTGAAGTCTTTTTTTTTAAATATTTATTTTTATAAATTGATAATTCCCGCTGTCTCTCAAATGGTTGGGAGATAGTTGGAGCTAATAAAATCTTAATCAAATCCTAAAGAATCTTAAGAAAATTCTTAAAAAACATGAAAAATCATAAAAAGCATTAAAAGAAATTATAAAGAAATCATAAAAAAAGCATAACAAAATCATAAAGAAATATTTAAAAGATATTCTAAAAAAGCATAAAGAAATAATAAAGAAACATCAAAAAAATCCTAAAATAATTATAAAAATGCTTAAAGAATTCCTAAATAAATCATAAAAATACTCTAATCAAATCCTAAGTGAATTCTAATAATCTTAAATAAATCCTAAAAAATCTTAAGTTAATTCTAACCAAATTCTAATAAAATTCTAAAAAAAATTGTAAAAAAATCTCAATAAATATTTATAGATATCTTTAAAAATCCCTATAAAATCCTAAACAAACTCTAAAAGATCCTATTAAAATATTAAATAAATCCTAATCAAAGCCTATAAATTTTTTAAAAATTCAATAAATAATAGTTAAATTATTAATATGACTTCAAAAAATCTATTCATTTCAATCTATTAATTAATAACAAGCATAAAAGTTTTTAAAAAAATCCAAAATATTTGTTGGGAAAAAAAGCTCTTAATCTACATGAATATCAAATATTCTCATTTTCCAATTTTTATGTTATTTTAATAGTAAATATATTTTCGAAATGCATCTTTCAATGGCCTTCAAATTTTACTAAAATATTTTAACTTAAATTAACTATAAGTTCACAAAATTTTATATCAATCAAATTGGTAGATTATAAAAGATCAAAAAAAACTCACATTGACCTTTGAAATCCAAATTTAAAGGCCCTTATCTAATTGAATTTCAATGATCTTCAATTAAACCACTCAATAAATCTTAATTTCACAAAATATATTAGAAATAAGAAAATTCACAATTCCACAAAATTTCACTCGTTGATTTGCTACAAAGCTCATACAATCTTTAAATATGTATATCTCAGTTTAGTTCTCAAAACTTTGAATTACTTAAAACACTTCTAACTTTGAACAGCTCTTAGAAACTTTGTGTTAGTTTAGTTGACCTAAAATTTATGCTCAAAAAAATCCTAGCAAATATTTTTTCTAATCTTACTCTTTTATCAATAAAAGAACCCTAGAATTGATGTAGATGCATAATTTTGGGCTTTAAGGTTTGGTTTATACCATGGTTCACAACTAATCCTCTTTAAATATCAATTTCTAGCTTTTAAAGATATTTTTTATTAAAAAAAACTCTTAACTTCTACCTGAAGATATTCATATATATATATATATATATATAGCTTAATATCTATTTTTAGATTAAAGCTATATATAGCTCTATAGCTATATTTTTCTTAATCTACTTTATTTTATCTTATTAATAATTTTACAAAGTAAGTAGAATTCTTTTAAATTAAAAAAAAATATATATTAACATTAATTGTGTTTATTACCTTCATAGCTTAAGCCATGTCTTTGTAAATTGTAATTCATATTCTTCTCTTTCACCTTATAAGCATGTTACTACATAACGATACTTAATTTTAGGAGAGCATTTAATCAACTTAGGTAAATCTTAAATTAGTCCACCTTTTTTCTTACCTTCATATATCATATCTTATATTCATTGCTAATCCTAAGAATTTCATTTTTTTTATCGATTCTTTAATTTTTTATTTTTAAAAATTATTTCTTTATTCATAATTATGTTAATGTATAGGAAATGAATTAATAAATTGATGGAGATTTTTTATTTTTTATTTTTTATTTTTTAAAAAAATTATTTTTTTTATTTTTTAAAAAAATTATTTTTTTTATTTATATATTTTTTGTGGTCTTATCAAAGTGAATAAAATATTAAAGTAGAA